CTAACAGCACACGCAGGGGACAAGCAGCAGCCCAGCCACGTGCGTTCCAGGGGAGGGCAGGCGTGCAGCCCAGCCCGCAGCTCTGAGAGGGCTCACAGGGAGCAGCGGACCTGGATGAAGTTGGAGGCCATGCCACGGAGGCGGGCGGAGGAGTCCCCAGTTCTGGCCAGCAGCGCAGGAAGGGTCCGCTCCACACAGTGCGAGGTTTCCAGCTTGCTCAGCTTGTGCTTGGGCACGTACTGGGTGAGGAGCATTTTCAACAGCTTCAGGGAGGCCTGGAAGACCTAGCAAAGGGGATAAAAATGAGGAGCTACAACATCCAGATTTCACCCAGGGCAAATGTGACACTCACTGCTGGTGACAAATATGAACGTCACAGTGAAAATGAAAACTCGAGGGCTGGGCTGAAAACCAGGCTGAGAACTGGGATTCGTGTGCAGCGCCTCGCCGCGAGCACCGTGTGATCCTGCTGAGGCAGCCCAGGCTCCTTCGGCACCTGCTCGGGAGCACTGGCCGTGGCTGCCCATCCCAGCTGGGGACAGGACAGTGGGGGAGGGGCCGAGCCCAGGCCGCTCCTGCTCTGCATTTCCGGTCCTGCATCCGGGCTCTTCCTGCGGCCAGAGCTGGCGGCTGCACTGTGCGGGGGCCGCCCTTGGCGCCCTGGCTCCTGCTGGGTGGCAGGTGTGTGGACCTGCAGGCCGGACTCACCGAGGTCACGATGTCCTTGATGGCTCTGCGGGTGAGGAAGACAGACGCGCGCAGCATGTTCTTTGCGTCCTCCTTTGGGGCTCCAGCAGGCACCTCCATCAGCTTTTCGTACAAGGCAAGCAGAGCGTTCTCGCGGCAGGACCAGGTCTTGGAGTAGGCCCCGGCCACCTGCAGAACATGAGCTGGCTGTGGTCCGGGTGGCAGCACCATGCCCAGGCTGGGCAACGAGGAGGTGGAGCCGGGCTTTCTCTTTCGAGACAGCGTGGCCTTGGCCCCGTCCGGTCTCGGCCTCCCCGGGCTGAGGTCACAGGCGTGTGCCTCAGGCCTGTTTTGTGCTAGGTACAGGCTCCTGTAGGGCACATGTGCACGCTGAGAGGCACTTCTCCGAGGGACAACGTCAGCTGGGTAAAGACAGAGACGGACCGAAGGCGCCACGGAGGGCATGCTGGGGCTGGGGCTGGGGCGGGGCGGAGGGCGCCCTGCTTGCTCCTGCCAGGGGATGTGTCCTGAACCAGGTGGAGCTCCAGCCTGTGCTCTGGGAAGACCAGGAAGACTCTCCCAGCCCCACAAGGATCTGCTCTCATCAAGTGTGACCTCGGCTCAGGCCTCCACGGTTCAGGGAGCTAATAACACGGGGCTTCCTGAAGGGAGCCAACTGCTCTGTGCACACGCATGCGCGTAAGTGCGCCCATGCGTGTGGTTGCAGGGAGCCCTGGGTGTCTCACCAAGCTCTCGCCGAGCACATCGATGGCAGTGCCGGCTTCTCGCAGTGCTTTCTCTGTCAGGGGCTCTGGCTCCCCAGCAAGGCTTCTTCTCCGGGCATCACTGGCGTCAGCCTCGCCCGCTTCCAGCTTTGCCAGCACTTCTCCGGGCTGCTTGCGGGTGGCAGGGAGAGGCCGCTCGTCATAGGGCAGGGCCTCGGCCTGCAGGAGCGAGAGCGGACGCGCTGGGTAGCTGTGGAGCTGGGTGGCAGCCCCACCTCCTCCGCTGCACCCTCCCACAGCCTTTGCTCTTGGGGCTGTAGGTCCAAGAGGGCTCTGGAGCTCACTCCTAGCACCACCAAGTCAGAACCGCTTGCACACCTGGCCCGGAAGAGGGAACACTAGATGAGGCTGTCTGCGCCTTTCTGAACTTGCTCCAGGCCTGCTAAAGGAGCTCCATGCCTGCTCAGCGCCTGTTTACCAGGTACTGTTTCCACCCGAGGGACACGGGACTGTGAAAGCGAGTGCTGTCACGGTTGTCTCTGACATCATTCATCTTCTTTCTTAAAAAAAAATCTTTTACTTATTCGGTACAGGGTCTCATTACACAGCTGACTCACAGTGATCCTCCTGTCTCAGCCTCTCCAGGGCTGGGCTTAAGGTGCGCACCATCCTGTCTGGCTCTGGTGGCTGGCACGGTGCACCTGTGCTTCTGGGGCTGACACACCATGGAGTACCAGGGGTCATACTCGGGTCCTTCCGCCTGCCAGACAGGTGCCTAGAACACTGAGCTATCTCCCCAGCCGATCTTCTCTTAGATTACTATCTGATGTAAGAACCAGACCCGGCTGTGTCAGATATGTGCACTGACTGCTGGCCTCTCCTGGCCAGGAGCTGACGCCCAACCCTCTCTGTCACCAGCGGCAGATCCTGGGTAGTTAGCAGAAGAAACACGCCTGGCCTGCTTTGCTTTCTGTCCCGATTTGTGCTTGGAAGGGGCTGTGGTGGCCGCCTCTGCGGCACCCCCTGCTGGAGGCATGTGCATCCCGCACTAAGACCCTCATGCTCTGTGGCTCTCTTGTAGGGAAGAGAAGCTGGGACGCCAAGAAGGGAGCAAGCAGGGAGCGCATCACCATGACAACAGGACAGCGCCACTCCAGGATGAGATGGGGCAAGGGCACACCGCAGGCTGGCTGCCAGGGCTCCCTTCCTCCTGTGGTGCCCTGGGGCCCTGGGATGGCCCCCACAAGCCAGCACAGCCCCCCTTGATCCTGGCTCTCCTCTCCAAGGCTTGCTGTATGTGTGCCTGAGACTTGAGGGCTCTTGTCTACACTGAGATGTGCTTTCTCCCTCAAATGTCACCATGACAGTCACCAGCTCCAGAGTGCCAGAAGCCCAGAGAAAAAGCTTTCGGATGACACCACTGAGCTACGCAATCAAATGGACCCTGAATGCAGCCACTGCACTGAGCTCAGTGACAAGAGCGAACAGACCCACTGGTCAGGTTCCTGGGCCCTCGGATCAGGAGGTGCGACGGCCCAACCTCACCAGGCTTCCCCACAGGGCTCTCTGCAGGGCCATGAGCCAGCATGGCCTGAAACAAGGCACCGAGCGTTGCCTGCATTTTATGGAGGAAATGGGCTCAGGCCGGACAAGGGGGTCCACAGGTGCTAGGGGCCTAAATTGCCTCACATCTGTGTTGCTGTTCTGGCCCAGGGTCCACCTCTCCTCTTACATGGGGGAGGGCTGGATGCATGGCACACGTGTCCGTGCGTAGGTTGGCACGTGAAGCAACATGGGTCCCTGACAAGTACCCGCCGCATATGTTGGAACGGTCACCTACGGTGCTCTGCGGAGCGGGAGTTGTGGCAGGTGGCGGCTGGTCTGGAGCCAAGCACCTCGGAGAAGGTGTCAGGACGTGTGATACTGGTTGTTCCGGGAGGAGAGGGTCTGCAAGCTGGTTTTCTGGAACCATCTCCTCCGGCTGTGGGAGGGAGGGCACGTGCTTTCGGCAGCGGGGACTGCTGGCATGGGCGAGGGGCTGGAGGGGCAGACGGAGAGGCCTCTGCACCTGCGGAAGTGAAGGGACAGCGCATCTGAGCACCAAGGCCGCCAGGGCCGCCCCACACAGACGACTGGAGGAGCTGGCAGGAGCTCCACAGCCCGCACACAGCAGCAGCCATGGCTATCGAGGGGCACGCTGGCCCCGGCGTGCACAGCATCTGTGCACAGTGCCTGCCCACAGGCTGTCTCAGGAAGCCAGTGCTGCAGGGCCAGGGCTGGATGCAGCAGTCCTGTGTCCAACCTGGTGCTGCTCCTCAGGTCTGCGGCCAAATGATACCTGTCACCCTAACAGGCAGAAGTGACCAGCAGTCACTAAACCCGAATGTGGTACCAGGTCACAGGCGGGGTCCCCAGGAGATCCAGAGCGGCTTGTCCACAGAAGCCTGACACCAGCACCAGGCAGTGGGCAGCCTTGTTCCACTGTCATGGGGGTGACCACCTACCCATGAGACGCAGTGATCCCAGGTGGGATGCCCTCCTGGAGGCCGAGCTCCCCGCTCCCGGCCAGGGCACAGGGATGGAGGACAGGGTGGTGCCCTGACCTTCTCAGGTCCAGGCTGCCCCCTTCCTCACTGGTGGATCTGTGGCGATCCCATCACGGCAGAGCCAGCCTGCTGCCCCCAGGCACTGAGTGTGCGCCCACCATCCCAGCAGTCCGACATCCCTGGGCCCCGCAGCAGCCCTGACCTCAGGCTCGCCCTGCAGGAGGCCATGCAGCGCCAGCTGCTCATACACCTGGGCCCGGTAGCGCGCCATCTGCTGCTGCTTCTCCTTGGCCAGGTCATAGTCCTCCTTCTCCACGGCACAGCGCTTCTCTACCTCGTAGCGCCCCAGGCGCTCGCCGACCTGCAGCCCAGAACAGGCGAGGTCTAAGTCAGCGCCTGCGCCTGCTCTCTGGTACAGTGAAGACTTGAGCAGGTACATGCTCCCGTGTGGGAGGGACCTGGGGACAGTCCCCACCCCCACCCCCCGCCAGGCCAAGCTGTTGCTGCACCCTCCCCAGCCGGGACCCTCCCCAGACTGGGGCAGCCATCGGTGTGCCACAGCTGTGGCAGCGCTAAGGCCAGGCGCATCTTTAGTGCTGGTGCCCTGTGACTATGATCGTGAGCGGAACCCAAGCCCCGGGGGCCATGCCTCTGCAGACTGGGTGTCGGGGGCCACACCTTCTGCAGGTCGGCGATGGCCTGCTTCAGTTTCTTGGCGTGATCGTAGCGTTCCCTCTGGACAGCCTCCCGCTTCCTCTCATCCAGCCTGCGGATGATCTGTGCGACCTCAGGGTCTTGGTACATGTCGAAAGCCAGGTCATCAAGGGGAGAGATGTAGTCAGATCTCCTACAGGGAGAGAGGACCACTCAGGGTGAGCCTCCATCCAGGAGAGACCAAAGACCTCAGTGCTGACTGTGGAGAAAATGGCCCTGTAACATTCACGAGCTTCCCCTGCATGGAGCCATGCAAGCTCAGGGAAGGCGGTGTGCTGCTGGGCCACAGGCTTTCAAGTGCCGACCCCAGTCAGGCCACGTCACCTGCATGGCATGTCTGCCTGTGAGCATGCACCGGCTCACAGGAGCAGGTGGGCTGCAGCCGTGGGGCCAGGCCGGTGTAGCCATGAGCATGGCGGGTGGACACGGAAGAAGGCCACGGTGTGCGGTGCTGGGCACGGCAGGGTCCAGTCCAGGCGCCCGTGCTCCTGAGAGCACAGCAGGCAGACTCCGCAATTGCGGCTGCGGGCTGCGGGCTCCCTCTAGTGGCCCCAGCTTTCATCCTAGCACAAAGCCACATCTAGCACAGGGCCCCGGGCTGCTGGATCCATGGGAGCTTTAACAGGTAACAGAGGAAAGGCCCCGCGCCAGCTACCCATGACAGCTGCATGGGGCGAGGCAGGCATTAGCTGTGGCCTGGGCATCCTCATATGTGGATGGTTTGTGTTTTTGCCCATGAAAGAGTTAGCTGATAAACTTGAATAATAATGAACTTGAGTGGAACTCTGGCATACACCACCTTGAGAAATCCCAGATTTTCTTTTCTTGGTGGTACGCACTAAAAACTGCACCTAGGGCCTTGAGCGTGCTAGGCAAGAGCCCTCCCCAACAGTCTCGTTAAGTTGCCCAGGCTAGCCCTGGGCTTGCAATCATCCTGCCTCAGCCTCCTGTGGGCTGGGACTACACGTGTGCACCACCGCACTCGGCGCCGAGCGTCCTCCTGAGGTTGCTCTGCTGGCAGCTATGGCACCAGGAAACCCAGCGGTGGGTACAGCTGGGACAGCCTGTGCACCGGCGAGTGGCCTCAGCAAGGCCCACACCGTGACGCCTGCTCGTGCCTCCCAGTGCTCAGTGCTGTGTAGTGCACCACACACCATGGCAGGAGGTCCTGCTGCGCTGTGGGGCCCAGGGTGAGCTCAAATCCCACCAGCGGTGAGTCCCATTTCTGGGGTGCTCAGCCCAGTAGGCTTTCCGCAACCTCACTGTGGCTTCCCCACACTCAGGTGAGGCAGCGCCCTGTGCATAGGCTGGCAGTGCTATGGTGGGGTAGAGGGGATGGCCCCCCACCCTGTGCACCCAGTGCGCCATGCTAGCCCCCACCCGGTGGGGAAGACCCTGACATGCCTCGGCACCACAGGCCTCACTGTGTGGTCCGTAAGTGATGCTGGTCACTGTTTTCGTACAAGTCCAAGCGTTTCACACCCGCAACAGCAGGGAAGGCACAGGCTGGCCTCCCTACTAGGCCCCTTGGGCTGGGGAGATGGCTCAGTAGAGTAAGCGCTTGCCTGGCAAGTGGAAGGGTCTGAGTTCAATCCCCGGTTCTAACAACAACAACAACACAGCTCCTACTAGGCCCCTTTTGGGCTGCTGCCTTCTGCAGAGCAGGCCTGGGGGGCGTGGGCACGGGCAACCGAAGCAGCGTCAGCTGGCAAGTGGCACGGCGCCATGATGCTGAGGACCCCCTTCTGCCGTGCACACAGTGTGGGTGCTTGGTGCTTCCTGCTGGGGCCAACTGTGTGCAGGGAGAGTGAGGCGACGTGGGAATGGAGGACAAGCACGAGGCCCGTTACAGTGTGAATGTGCTGCAGGACTCCTTCCTCTCGAGACCACAGCACCTGGGCCAGCGCCCTCTGCTGTGACAGCACGAGAGGCAGGTGCATGCACATAGACAGTGAGCTGACGCAGGATGGTGCCAGGGTTCTGCAGGTCTCCTGCCTCTTTGAAGCAGGGTCTCAGTGCAAGGCTTGGGGTGGCCTGAAGCTCGCAGCAACCCTCCTGCCTCAGCTTCCCCAGTCCTGGGTATGTGCAACCTCGCCTGGCTGACCCTAATGCTTGACAAAGCAAGGGTTCTTACACTGTAAAAAGAAAAAAAGGCAGCAAAAGAAACACGAGTACTCAATTGTTAACGGGAAGCAGGACTGGCCAGGTGTGGCGGCCCATGCCTATAATCCCAGCACATGGGAGGCTGAGGCAGGAGGACTGCTGTGAGCTTGAGGCCAGCCTGGGTTACAAAGAGAGTTAGAGGCCAAGCTGAGTGGCACAGCAATACCCTGTCTCAAAAAGACCAAAAAAAAAAAAAAAAAGCAGAACTGCACAAGAAAGAGTGAAGGCAACAGCTGTGCTTTCTAAAGCTGATGTGCTGCATGTCTAACATCCAGTGCCACCAGAAAGCCAAGCCTAGCGTGACCCACCGGGACTGACCTGTGTGTCTGCGTGCTCCTAATACATCCAGGAAGGGCCCCCGCGCCTGGGCAGGGCTGACATGGTGGCCTCAACTGCCCCTGTGTGCTAAGCCAACTGCACACATGCCGCTGCCCTCTGCAGACAGGGCCCAGGGCCTGAGTCCCTGCCCTGCTGTGTGGCCCCTGAGCCAGGAGGTCCTGCACGTGGTGGGGGCCTTACCCAGCATAAGTTCCTTCCAGAGCAGGGTCCTCAGCGTTGTGGCCCAGGTAATGGTCCATGAGCTTCTCCCTACAGGTCTGTGGAAGGAAACAAGCCACTGAA